AACTCTTAGAGCTCGTCGGCGACCTTTGCAACTTCATATTGGACCAGATTGTACACGTCAAAGGCGCCTATCATGACCGAGAGTCTGACTTAGGTATAAATCCTCAGTATCAACACCTTCATGAGACTGAAAGGCTAGCTCTAGGACGTTGATAACAATGTGTATGGAATTTGTATATTTAATGATGGGTTGTATATATTCTTTTGAATTGGACTTGTAATTGTAGTTTATATAATACTCTTGTGCTTATAGTCGGGGTCGCGGGAGGTTTCGGCAATATGAAACGTTGGTCGCGGGACGTTCAAAGAACGCGAACGCAGTTTGGATCACGAGGCGTTCGCAACGTGAACGCGGTTCGGAATGTTGGTCGCAGGCGTTCGGCAACGCGATTTTGAATTGTAAATTTGAATTTTTTTACGAAAACGCGTTATATAAGGCGGTTCTAGATTGAACCGCCCCTACAAACAGTATTTGTAGGAGCGGTGGTACTACATCCGCCCTATAATTTGTAGGCGGTTGGTATTACTGACCGCCCCTACAAATCGATTTGTAAAGGCGACACTGAACCGCCCCTACAAATGCATGATTTGTAGAGACGGCTCGGTAGGGGTGGCTGGCCAAACCGCCCCTACAAAGGGTTACCAGCCGCCCCTACAAATGCTTTTTGTAGTAGTGTAAGGAAAGGCTTCACCACAGCCGGGCAGAGTGAAGCGGGGCGACGCACGTCGTCTTGCCGGGTAGAGTCTTCCTTTCGTATTTTTTAATTGTAGAGACAGAGTTGGAGATAAACGAACTAACTAACATGATGATACACAACCTAGGATTTATCTAGTGTGCTCTCCATAACCAACCAAAAGTTTCGCACTCTAGAGCAAATCCTATCACTAGCCTATGCTAATCTAGGAAATTGTAAATGCCACAAAAACAGCTCAGGTCCCGGGCTCAACGACTACCTAAAAGAGCGGATTTTCTAGGATTTAACGACCTTGTGCTTTTGGTGGTAGGCGATGTTCTCGTCGACAGCGAGGCATCTGTATCGTCAATCTCGAGGATTTGCCAACCCAATCTTCGAAGATGCTCATAGGGGTAGATTTGCATGCGTGCATTGATAGGGATGAGAGCAAGGCTAATAATATAGCCGGCTGCTGGATCTAAGGTATCTTTGCAGCCTTCTCTCAGCCCACTCATATAGTTGTTAGCTTTTTATTATTAATACATAGTCCACTTGTCTCTCTCACAGAGTTTCTTGGTTCTTATGCCAAAGCTGGTTGTAACCTTAGAGCCCGCTTCTCTTCTCTCCTCTCCTCTCTCCTCTACCTCAGCATTTAGCCAGCTTACATCTTGTTATCTAATAAGCACAGCACCGACTTAACTACGAATTGTTGGGTGTCGACTCCCACGAGACCCACGACTGAAGGCTGCCACGGATCGACGGGATGGAAGCGAACCCGACACAGGCATCTCCGTCAGGCGCGGGGTCCCCGACCCGAAAGCACACGCTGGCCGCCTAACGTTGCCGAAGAGGCGAAGCATTACTGGCGGGCATGGAAGGCGTAAAGCATTGCGCTGGCGACGGAACACGGCCGGGGTGAAGAGCGTGGAGGCGGCAGTGGAGGAGGAGGAGAGGAAGGCGTGGATGGTGGTGTGTAGTCGAGGACGGATGGCGGTGGGTGGCTCGACCTGCCTGCACCCTGCCGCCTGTGAATGTAAACACGAAGCTGCCAGGTTGGCTCGTGTCAATCACTCGAGTCAACGGAGGCTAATAAGCTTCTGATTTAAAAAAAATGATAGTACCTCCTGGAGTCAACGGACTTGCTCTACACCAAGTACCTCATCCTGTTCAGCTCGGCTTCCGGTCGTCGACAAGACGGCGCTATTCGCGTGGCGATGGTCGCATGTCCGTGTGGGTCACCGTGTCGGCGCCTCTGCGGTCAGGCACTACCGGCCGGGTTCCCCACGGGAAGCTCGTCCAATATCGTCCATGGCAAGAACGTGGACCTGCTCATCACCTTTGTCATCGTGGGGCATGGTTACCCGGGGATGAAGGCGAGTTCTTCATCCACCTCTTCTCCGACTGGACTAAGGTACGCGCGTGGTGTCACTACGTACCAATCAGAGAGCTTGACATATAAATTTTTCTCATTCAGCGTTGACGTGATTGGCTGATTCAATCTCCTCAGTGGCCATCCGCCATCCTCGTATATATAAACGTATAGTACAGCTCTGTACCGTGGCTATAAATTTTTTCACAGTCAATGCATTCGTGGCCCTGTGACCGGATCTGGTGGAGCCCAGGGAGGAGGTCACGAATTCGTGTGATTTGAAGGCGGGAGCAGCGCTTGGGCGTCTTTGGCGGCACTCTGGCGCAGACGCGTGAGGCTGAATCGGTGTTGTAGCAGCCCGTCTTTGCGGTCTGTGACAGCAGCGCCCACCTCGTCGCCTGATTCGTCGGCAAGAAGACTCGGATCGGCGCCACGGGCTTGGGCTCACCAAATTTGGGCTCCATGTGGTAGTACTTGTGTTTGAGTGTGGTTGGTTGTGTCGGTCTTGTGCCTCGGTAGTCGGTGGTCGGGGTGCTGCGTAGGCGAGGCTGGTGGGCTGGGGATGCCTCATTCCATCCTGTGGCTTCTGCGGTGGTCGGCGTGGTCGGGATGTCGGCCGGTCCTCGTCGACTAGTGTTGCATTATGTTGGTAGTGCTTGTTTGTTGCAAGCAGCGACAGCTTGTCCACGGCGGCTCTCTCTTTAGTCGTGGGCCACGACGATTGGTCTCGCTTAGCGGTGGCCAATTTCGGTAGGGTTGCGGTAGCTCCTTTGGTTGGTGAGGCATAGCGGTACGTTGGTGGCAACTCTGCAGGACTACTACCAACTATGGTGTTTCAACGGAAGGTCTTGGTTGTGGAATCCATGGACGTGTGGTGTGTCAAGCTTTCTCTTGTGAGTGTCCTTCGTGGTTGGTATCTATTCGGTTGGATGTGGTCAATTTCGACCGGCGCTTGGTTGTGTTGGCCACACATCTGGTGGTGTTCGCTCGCTACCGCTGCGACAATCAACAGATGGCGGCTCGTTCAAGATGGTTGCGCGTGCGGGAATGCTCGTGGCATCTCTAGAAGCTTGAGGGACGACGACGTGCAACGAAGTCGGCGACACCCTTTGCATGGTGTAGGAACAAGATGTGACCTCCCACGGTGGTTGGTGCTATGTAGGATGGAGGCGGCCCTTGAGTTAACCAGATTTAAGTTTGACTAGATGTATATAAAAAAAATCAACATCTATATATCTTAAATATAGAGTTTTACTATGAAAATGCATTATGTGATTTGTCTAACGGTAATTATTTATATAACAACGCTAAGTATATTTGGTTAAACTTCCACTGATGGTTTCTACAGCTAATTAACCGGCTGATACTGTTTTGTTGTGTATCATGGCCGATAACCGGGCTGTTCAAGCGAAACCGTTCTCTCTCGGACAGTTCGATCTTCTCAAGGCGACCAAGAAGCAGAGACGTACGTCTCTCGGAGTGCATCGTCAAGCTGTACCACACGGCAAGGTCCTTCGTCCTGCTCACCGGCGACGAGGACTTGCGCATCAACAAGTGCACGACTCTCTCCGGCCGGTCTCCGCAGACAAAGAGGTAGAGGAGATGATATGCAGTACCCTCGCGAAGAACAGAGACGGTTTGGTCGGCGGCCAGGAGTCCCTGAAGGGTGAAGAGGAGGACCGACCAGAAAGGCGACGAGGACCTCTCGAGGTACAGCAAGGCTCAGACACACATCGAGAGAATCATGGTGTATTGTATTGGTGTGGCACGTCGCGACCAGCACGCCGGAGGAAGACGACGGCGGCGGCGCCGGCCTGCACCCGCGCATTGGACGATCGAACAAACGCTTGAGGGCGAGCGCAGCGCAGCAGTAGAGAGGACTCAACGGCGCGCGGTCTCCGTCTGGTAGACGGCCGGAGCGGCGAAGGAAACTAAGAATAGTCCGGGTAGTTGCCGGAACAGCGACGGAAACAAGTTAGGATTTGGAGGACGGCCGCCGCTGGATTCAGGACATGTGCAACGTCCTCGCCTCGACGAAGCAAAAGCGGTTGGACAGAAAAAGAGCAGCCAACGGCGGCGAGGAGGAGGCCAACACGGAAAGCAGGGGACGGGGCGAGCACAAGATAGCCAAAAGAGGTCAGCATAGTCTCGAAAGGCCAGATGCTCGCCAGAGATCTTCCGGTGAGCGTGCCGACGCATGCATGGCGGCGGCGACGGCCTGTACGTATGGGAGGCGCTGAGCCGTGGTGCGAGCTGATCGTGTCGATAGCGCCGCACCAGAAGGCAGAAGGAGCTCGGCACGGGCGGCGAGTTCATCACGCACCTCGATCTGGGCGGTCCTCTACCACGCGGGCATCAACGACAAGTTCTCGATCTCGTCCGCCGCCACCGCCGATGCTCCGCCTGGCAGAGACGACAACTACGGTCGGAGCAGCCCGTGCTAGGTCCGCGTGCCAGAGTGTGTGTTGGTGTACGTGCACGTACTGCGTGTTTTGTACTCGTCGTAGAGGTGTTTAGCGAGCCAGGGTCGTCAGACTCACTCGTGTGTGTCCCCAGCTCGCTGTTCCCGGGCCGCTTCTGTGCTGTGCACGAGACGTTGCAGCTTTGGGCTCAAAGTTATGTGGGCTGGAATATACTGGACCATGCTGTGAATTCCCGTCGACATGGGGTGGTTGGGCCTGCGTTTTTGTGTGCAGTAAGCGAGTTGGGCTTCAGCCTGCTGGTCCCCGAAATTCCATCGGCACTTTCTATTCGACGTGCAATTATTTTTGGTTCTTAATCTGACAGATAAATTTCTTTCAATCAAAGATGATGCATCAATCAAGCAGACTCATTTCGTGCGTATAAATTTCTGCCCGCTCTCTGCAACGCGCGCGGTGGCGCGAGCTGCCGTCTCTGGGGCCGACACCGGTGCCGCGCACGCTACCGCACGGCCAGCCGCTGCCACGGCCGGAGCCCATGCACCGTGTGCTGCCACTGCCGATGCATGGCCGGCGGCCACAGCTCCAGCCCGAGGAGCCTCAAGTGTTCGACGACGACAAGCAGGTAGGGCCGCCCTCCGGCGACCAACGACAGGCCACGGCGTCATCCAGATCCGGTGGGACGTTAGCTGTCAAGAGTGGGCTCGTACATACGTCGCGCGACAATTTCGCCGTCCTCGTGCACGTCCAGGCTCGCGGGATGACGGATGGCGAAGCGGCGTCCGGCGACGCGCCTCTCGACCTCGTGACAGTGCTGGACGTCAGCGGCAGCATGACCGGGGCAAAGCTCGCGCTCCTGAAGCAGGCCGTGGGGTTCGTCATCGACAACCTCAGGCCCCAGGACCGCCTCAGCGTTGTGTCCATCTCCTCCGGGGGGCGCCGTGTCACCAGGCTCTTGCGGATGTCGGGCACCGGGAAGGCTACGACCAAGAGGGGCTCCAACATCGCTGAAGGGCTCCGCACGGCGGCCAAGGTGCTCGTCGACCGCCGGCGCAGGAACACCATGTCCAGCGTCATACTCCTCTCCGACGGCCGGCCAGGACACCAACACCGTACGACGCCGCGGTGGTTGCGGGGCACCGCACCCAACTACGAGGCCGTCCTTCATGTCCACTGGCAGGCACCAGAGATTGGTCGGCGCCGACTCACACGTGTGGATTCGGCAACGACCACGACGCGGCCTCCATGCATGCACGTCATTGCTGAGGCCACCGCCGGTAAAGGCGATCATCCAGGACGCGTTCGCGCAGTGCATCGGCGGCCTGCTCACCGTCGTGGTGCAGGACGCGCGCGTCGCCATCGCTTGCGGGCATCCCGGAATTCGCGTCTGCTCGATCAAGTCCGGGCGTTACTGACAGCCCCGCCGACGAGCACGGCCGCTCCGCTTCTGTCCGCGTCGGCGAGCTATACGCGGATGAGGAGCGGCGTTTCCTGCTGTTCTTGTCTGTCCCAGCCGTGAAAGTAACGGACGGCGAGACTGCTCTGACCAAGGTGAGCTGCAGTTACCGAGACACGGATGGAGGCGCGCACGTCGACGTGACGGCGGAGGACACGGTGGTGGCGAGACCGGAACCGGAGCATGTGGTGGACGCGGAACGCTCAACGGAGGTGGAGCGGGAGCGCGTCCGTGTGGAGGCGACCGAGGACAACGCTGCGGCGAGGGCGGCGGCGGAGCGGGGCGCGCACCAGGAGGCGGTGGAGATACTCGAGAGCAGGCAATGAGCGGTGGCGCAGTCGGCGGCGGCGCTTGGCGGCGACCCCACGATCCTGGCGCTGGGGGCGGAGCTGCACGAGATGCCCCGCTTCGTTTCGAACGGGAATACTTACGCGCGGTCGGGGCGCGCCTTCATGTTGATGCTCTCTGGCATCTGCATGCACACGCAGCAACGCGCCAACATGAAGAGGACCTCAAGTTGTCAGTCTCGTTTGGTAGCTCTCCGGCTCCTCTCAAAATAGCTCTAGCTCTGACTCTTGTGCTGGAGCAGATTCTTTAGCAGAGTTGAAAGCTGTTTTGGAAAACCATTTGGCTAAATGCTCCTCATGTCTCATTATGAATGGTTAAGATAGGGACAATGTCCGAAATACGATTTATATTTGAAGATGCAAACAATAATTTCTACATTCTATATATCAAGTAAAATGTATATAATATCCCTTTTATTTATATTCTTCTTTTTTATTTTTTCCTTATTTGTATCTATTTTTTTATTTTGTTGTCCTTTTTTTATCTTCACCACACGGCACCTTATCCTCAATTCTTTCTTTTTTTTGTCTCTTATTGTCTCCACTGTATATAGGATTCACTTTTTCTCCCTGCAGTCCCTAGGCAGCATGCGCTCGGCTTCCTTCTCTTCGTTCTTCTTCAGCCTGTTCGTTTCGGCTGAATTGACTTATAAGTCATAGCTGAAAATCTTGTTATTTGGTTTGGTGTGAGAGAAAAACTCTTTATTTCAAATTTGTGGATTATAAGCCGAATCTGAGCAAATAAGCCAAAACGAACAATTTGCTTATCCACACAGCGACATGGTTGCTATCCGCTTCATGACGCCTTGAGCTCCATGCGGACGGAAGACCGGCATTTGACGCGATCAAGCGCCTCGGCGGCGGCCAGCCATGGCGCTCCGTCAACCCCGGCGGCCCTCGGTGACCCCGCTTGCCGGCCATGGCGCGCGGCAACCTGCATCCACGCTGACGGCGGCCCTCGGCGACCCGCGCTTAGCACAGCACGGTGGGGCAAATCCGCCCGATGGCACATGCGAGCCCATGGCTGCCCGTGGGAGCCGTCCGGCTACGTTTTGCAGCTCTATCCTTCTCTCTCCTCTCCTCTCCTCTCAGTGGGTTTCCCGCGGCTCCGGGAGCGGAGCGGATCCGTTTGTTGGCGTTTGGCTGGTGGGAAGGTGCAGCTGCTCCTAGAGCTGGTCCAGGAGCCATACCAAACGGCCCCTAATTCTTTCGCCGTCTCGATCTCGAATCCCGATGAACGATGCCATGGTCCACGGAGGCGTCGTCATTCGCGACGCCGGTTGTGCGAGCCATACTGCTGCGGTCGCGGATGGTGCGGGAGGACTCCTCGGTTGAGCAGCAGCCTCCGTACAAATTTTTGTTTTTGTTTGGTTGCTAGGTGCAAATTTTTGTGAGGAATGGATGAATGTAAATTGATATTTGGGGTCAGAGGCTGGGATTCTGGGTTTTCAAGGAAGGTCTCCATGTCTGGCAGTCTATTTTGTGATTGCGGTGGTAGAGTTTCGTGACACATTAGTAAATTTTGTGAGATGGCAGATTAATTAATAGTGACGGGGATGAAGTCCTTTTTGTAGTTATACATGATTTTATTTCGACCAGTTTTCTTTTGTAGTTGCGCTCGTTAGCGTACTTGTAAGCTTAGAGTTACGTTCATATATAGTTTTTGGCTTTCTGCCCCTATACAGTTGTGCGTTTTCTTTTGGGCTCGGATTCTCTTACAAATTAGGACATTTATATCTACTTGTAATAAGTTAATAATATTGTGGCCAATAAAAGCTTTGTTGTACTTTTAAAGACGAAAATTATGTGCAACTAAACGCATTGTCAGTCGAATATTCAGTTCCCCGAATTTGAGAATGGACTTTTTTTTAGCAGATCTAAGAATGGACTTGGCGTGACACGGTTGATACCTGGGCTTCTTCCCGCCGGCCCATCTTCAGCCCGACGTCTGCTATTTTGTTAGGCCCACGTCGTGGAAGATTGGTTTTGCGGTGCGGCAAAGACCTGGCCACCCCAGCACTACTCTCAAGAGTCAAGAACAGCAGCCTTTTTGTTTATCAAAACAAAAAGGAACAGCAGTCTTTTTCATCTGAAACCTAAACTAACCCGGCCGTCACCTCGTGGTTAATGCAGCGGGTTGACAGGTGCCAATGTGCCGTTCTCATGCATATCGCTGAATGTACGACGCCGTACACGTGATCGCGACCGCAGACTTCCCTGACGACGGAGGTCGACTCGGCCTGCATGGCGGCTCCGATCCGCCGAGGTCAGCACGTACAGCACCTATGGTTGGTACCCAGCCGCTCGTGCCAGTCGCATTCGAGCATGTCCACCGAGAGAAATGCATGGCGAGCTAGCTAGACCATCTGAAGCAGTAGTCGTAGTCGTCTCTTCCTCAATTATGATGTTCTTTTTATTACCTCTATCTATTACATGTATTTTTTTCATATATAATGTTCACATAGTGTATATGTATATAATGTTCTATGTTATGTTTCTGGATATTCATATAGTATAAGTTGGATGTTCCACGATTATATTCGAGTATTCATACCGTATTCGCGAGATGTTCCGAGGTATATTTTGTTTTCTTAAGTAGTACCATGTGATATTCATAGTGTAGTGGTTGGGAATGATTTTATAAAATCATGGGTCTTGTGTTCAACTCTTTTTGCGCAACATTTTTGTTTCTGTTTTTTTTCTCTTCTAGCGCGTAAGCAGGACCACACGATGTTGGATCATTTGTCTTGTTCGCGTAGTGGGTTCGGCAGGGGCTGAGACGGTGTCCGTGTCACGGCTCACCGCTCACCATGCATGGCTCAAAATGATGAAATTGCTCTATTTAGCTCCAATTTCTCTAATTAAAAAACCGTTTCGGAGAAAGACTTCTCATGGATACTCAAAATGATAAAATGTCTATAATACCCTATAGTTTTTTTTTTGCTTTTCCTTCGTATATTCACTTCTCTCTCTACCTTATCCCAATGGCATGAACGGACGCTCACGACGTCGTCACCCCAGCCTTAGCCCCTCCCCACCAGCCTTGACTACCCCGGACCCACTCGTGTCGCCGTCTCCATGCCTTGCGCCATCGTCGTCCCGGCCTCGCTTTGCCTCGAGGCAGCGATGTGCGATGGCGGATCTAGAAAGCGGACCAGGGGGGGGGGGGGGCTAAACAACATAGGCCAAAAAAATTTGCTCATTTGGACACAAAGTACACTAATAAGCATAGAATTAGATAATTGATTCAAAGTGCTCAAAGTCAAAGATACATAGAATTATGATAATAAGCATAGAAAAGTACCAAATACAAGGAGTCTTCCATCTTCAAGAATTCACACCACTTGAACCGCCACGCTCAATGCTACATAATTTTTAAATGTCAACCACTTCTTCAATAACCAAGATAACAAATACAAAGAAAAGCTCTAAAACAATACACACCTTGGGACCTTGGGTGGCAAGTTTATCTTACGGTTTCTTAAGCCTTGAAAGCGCTTTAAAATTTTATCATCTTCAATGGATGCAAACAAATCCCGCTCAATATAGCATATCATGCTATTATTCATCCAATCATCATTCATTTTATTCCTCCTGTCGGTCTTGATAATATTTATAGCAGAGAAGGCTCTTTCAACTGTTGCTGTTGCCACGGGCAATATCAATGCAAGCTCAATGAGGCGATACACCAAAGGAAAATATGTATGTCTATCAGTTTTAACCATCTTCTCAGCAAGGCCACCAAGATCAATACAAGAGCAAAATTCTTCATCTTCATCATGTTTGACTTCATCCATGAAATTTTCAAGCTCAGTTCTTAGCTTTTCACATTCATAATCACTAAAGTCAGCATAATAAATCTTAGCAAGCTCAACTAATTTCTCTATCTCAAAGTTGGCAAACTCATTTGTCAGATCAAGACAAGCAACACATCTCAATAGTTGAGTTGATCTTTCTGAAAATTGATTGTTCAACTCACAAATTATTTGATCAAGGACAACATTGAAAATCCCATGATGAATATGATGGTAGTAGGTCACATATTTGGCTCCACGACATTTTGAACGACCTCTCATTGGTATCATATCTTCCATATTAGGAATGTCTATATTGTGTTTGGCAGCAAAGGCTTTTGTCTTCTCTAAAAGATCATCCCAACCATTTTCCCTCATGGCATTTATATTTCTCATCACAGAACCAATCAATCCTATTGCACGAACAATGTTTTGATTTTTCTTTTGCAAACATTGTGATAGGTCTTGAGTTATCCCCAATACTCTGGCTACAGAACTACCACAAGCTGCAATTGATGAGCAAAACAGTGGATGTAAAAAGCAAAAGGGTTTTCATTCAATACCAGCCTTTGTAACCCATGAAACTGCCCTCTCATGTTTGAAGCTCCATCGTATCCCTGTCCTCTAACCTTGGCTATAGATAACCCGTATCTCGCAAGCATAGAAACCAATGCTTCCTTCAGTGAAGATGATGTGGTGTCAGAAACATGTTGTAGGCCAAGGAACCTCTCAATCACACTTCCTTTATCATTGACAAACCTATAAAACAAAAGGAAACATAGTGTTAATTGGAAGCCACAAAACAAAAGAAATGAAATACACGAATAGATGATATATACCTCACAACCACGGCCATTTGTTCCTTAATTGATGCATCACGAGCCTCATCAACAAGCACCGCAAACCAACGATCTCCAATTTCACTCTTAATTAATTCACTTGTCTCTCGCACAAGCCCTTACCAAATCTTTTTGAATTGTTGGACAACTCATTTGATTATTCCTGGAGCATTCATTACTATCACAAGTGCAGCCTTAGAATCCTTTTTTTATACCAATCAAGCATCTCCAAAAAGTTCCCTTTATTTTTAGATGTTTTAGACTCATCATGCCCACGAAATGCCAGAGCTTGCAAAAGAAGAAATCTAGCAATGCCTAACATTATAGTTAAACGAGCTTTATATGCCTCCTCTTCTGCTGCAGTTGTTACTGCCCACACATGTTCTACACTTTGTCTTTGATTTTTGAAATCATTTGCTCGTTTTCTTGCTGCACTATGGTAGCCATCAATTGATTGAGTATGCTTAAGCAAAGAAGCCTTTCCCTTTTTCCAATTTTTGAACCCTACTCTCGGTGAATGCCTCATTATCATCAAAATTGCTTAGCGATGGTGGCTTAAAGAGGTAGCAATAAAAGCAATAGGCTGCATCCTTGACAGGACTGTACTCTAACCAATCAAATTGAGTAAACCATGATTTAACAAAACCTCTAGTTTGAGTTTTACCCGCTGTTCTTTCATACTCACAATTTGGTTGATATGGACTCATCTGTAAATATGCTCTCCTAGCATCATCCCTAATATCATGGTGGAATTCATCAATTGGCTTTCTAAGACCTGGATCAGCAACTATATCATTCATATCAAGCTCAATGCGGGGTTTTTTTTGCACAACCCGACTCTCTTGAGTAGAAGCATCTTTCTTAGCAATTTTTTTTCCATTCTACAACTACAAAGTAAAACCAATCGAATCATTGACTGAAAAAAATAAAAGAGGAGTTAAAGAGGCCAGAGCCGCACAGAGGGGAACTGGCACCTTGGGGCTGGCCGGTTGGGGACTTGCCGACTTGGGGCTTGGGGGTGGCCCAGCCACGCCGCACGCTGGCCAGCCCGATGGCGCCGCCTGCCTTCCCCGGGCTGCAGCCTGCTGTCTGCACGCTGGTTGGCTCGGCCGCCCTGGTGTGGCAGTGCCCGTCTCGCCTCGCTGCCAATCGTGGAGCAGAGGGGGCGGGAGGGGGGCGAGGCCGCGAGGGGGCGAGGGGAGGCGCGACGCGCGAGCAGGCGAGCCGTGAGCCCGCTTGAGGCGCGGGTGGCGGCGCGGCGGCGCGTCGTCTTGCCTGCACGACCAGCGAGGAGCGCCAAGGGCGTCGTCTGGGCGTCTGGCCGTGAGGCCGTCTCGCTCATTGGCGGTTTTAAATTTGGGCTAAAAGCTATTAAATTTTTTTGACCCAGGGGGCTGCAGCCCCCGTCGTCCGCCAATGCTGATGTGCCCCCGAGGCAAATCGGACACTGGTTGCGCCATGGTCTCGCTAAAAGCGCCTTGGTGACCATCTCGACCATTGTGGTGCACCGTTTAGCAAGTTTAGAGATCTAGAAATATGTTTTCAAAGTTTTTGGATCTACTATAAGTTTGGAGATAGAGATGTTCTTTGATATTTTTCTACAAACCTAGTCAAACTTAAAAGAGTTTGACCGGCATGATTACCATAGACCAAGTGACACTTTTTTCGGGGCCGAGGAGCAAGTGCATCGTTTACCAAGTGATTGCCCTGTTCGTTTGTGCTGGTTTGGCTTATAAGCCATGGCGAAATACCGCAGATTGGCTAGTTTCATGTGATAGAAAAATACATTTATTAGGCTGATAAGTCATGGCTTATAAGCCAAATACGATCGGCGAATAGGTTGGAGGTCAGCCATGCATTTAACATAGGAAAATGTCAAGGACTCAGCTATAGTAGGGATTTTGGCGTTACATTGATTGAACCTGAACAGGTCCACGACCACGTGAAGCGCTCCCGCATTGGCCTTGGTGGCACGTGGCAGTGGCAGCAACAAAGATGACGATGACTTGCGTCCGCACGTGCTTCGGTAGGGGGCAGTGTCCGTACCGCTTGTATGGACGATGAGTTCGTGCCACTACTGTAGATTCAAACTCTGATTCACGAAGTCATCCAAGAGCTCGTGTACAGAATCCTTTGCCTGGAACGTTAGTCGTTTGCCTTTCTTAGCAGGTGCCACGTGCACCATTTTTATATTTATATCTATCTATGCCACGTCGTCTTCGTCACTGCCTCAATGGCCTCACGTCTCACGACATGGCAACACACACTAGCTCTGTGCATTGAATTGAATAATAATAACATGAGACGGGAAGCATGGCCTGCGAGGGCTCCACCTCCACGGAGACGGCGATGTGGCGGCGCTGGACGCCAATGAACGCCTTGTCTTGGGCTGACGACCCGCCGCCGTCTCCGTTCGGCACGAGCGTGGACAGCGAGGCCGCAACCACCGGCACTGCTGTCTCGGACGCCGACGAGAGGCGCGGCCTCGTGGCGGCGCGCTCTGCATGCGACTGCGCCGGGCGCGCGCGTGACGACGCCGTGTTGGCCGTGAACGGGCCTGTCATGTGTGCGCATCAACTCGGCATGGGCTCGGACGAGGACCTCCACTCCGCCGCTGCTTCCGGATCTCTACGGCACCGACCGGCGGTCGCCGCCGCCCCGGCGAGAACGAACGACGACAAGGTCACCCACGCCACGCGGCCGCACGCCGCAGCAGCCAGCTGATACTTGCGTGCGACGTTGGCATTTCTCCAGAGCTTGCTGCATGTGTTGCCATCCATTGCCTGCCAATGCCAATCGCAGCCGGCAGCTTCCCCTTCCGGCCCACCACTCGCCCCTCCATCTCCACCTCCTCCTGCGCTGCGATCGGAGGCGCGCCGGAGCCTGACGAAGGATCTGGTGGCGGCGTACGCCGGAGCATGCACGTCCATCGACATGGAGTTCGCCTGCAGTCCGTCGTATTGGACGGTGACCACGTCCGAGCCCTGCACCGTGAACACCGCCGCCGCCACGACGGCCGCGCGCGTGCGGAGGACGACGGCGAGGACCAGCTCCAGCCCTGTCCGTGGCCGTGGAGCGCGCCCTCTATATGGCGGCGCTCGAGGCCACCAAGAGCGCCGTGTGCTCCGCCTCGGCGTCGCGGAACCGGCCGCCTCTGCTGCCGCCTCGGACGCGGGCGGTGTCTCTGCTGCCGTAGCCGCGCAGGTGGTGTGGACCCCGGTCGACGTCGTCAGCCAGCGTCTCATGGTCCAGACGGCGCCCGTTGCTGCCGCCCGAGCGGCTCCTCTGGCCTGCCGTCGGCCCCGCGCACAACGACAGACGCGATGGCCGTGCAGGGTGCGAGCGCCGGCGCGGCGGGAAGCGCGGCCGCGCTGGTGACGATGCCACTGGACACCGTGAAGACGCGGCTGCAGGATCGGTCACGCGGCGTCCTTCGTCCACGACATCCAGGATCGGACTCGGACAGCACTGCAAGCCCAGCAGCGGAAGCCGCACGACCTGAAGAAGGCCTGGAAGATGTCGCTGCTGAACTGAACCTGAGCGCAGCACCTGACTGAGCCCGCGCGCGTTCGTGAACCGGTCGGTGCACGCAGTGTGGCCGCTTGAGCCCACGGGGTTTTCCGTTGGAGCCCCCGCCGGCCGCATTGTGGCCGTACACGGGCTGCTCCCACAAACCGGCGCGCCTACCTGGATCCAGCTGGATCACAAAGGCGGCGGCGGCGGTTGCCGAGGTCGGGCCCGCAATATAACCGCCCTTCCCTTCCCCATCCCCCTCAATTCGTTTCAATTTCAATTCAACGGGCAATCCCCCGTTCCCTCCAACCCCTCAACCCCAAAACCGCCTGAGCAACCTCCCCGGGCCCGCGACAGCCCCCGCCCGCCCCCCATGTCGTCGTCCTCCTCCTCCAGGGCGAGGGCGAGCGAGTCGGGCGGACGCGACATTCCTTGGGTGCTGCTCGACCGGACGCCTCGCCTCACCGACTTCGGAGGGATGGCCCACGACGCGGACGTCCTGCTCGAGCTCGTGCCGCCGCCGGCCGTCTCCACAGTCTTCCTCGACCGCGCTCTGCTCCCCGACGCCGCCGCCTGGGAGACGGCGCCGTGCCGCGTCGAGGGCGCCGACGCGTCGGGACACCTCCTCCTCGCCTTCCCCTCGCCGCGAGCGCCCGGGGAGTCGAACCTGCTCGTGTGCCGCCCCGTCCCCAGCAGCAGCGGCGGCGCCGGCAAGGCCAAGGGCAAGGGGCACTTCCTGCCCGCGTTCCCGGAGGATGTGCTCGGCCTCGCCATCTCCCCGGCCGCTCCCACGGGCATCATCGCGGACCACGGGGCGAACACCGGCGACGCCTATTTCGTAGCCCAGGTGCAGAGCGCGCCATCCTCCACACCAGTCGTCGCGGTCGCGCTCTGCTTCTCCAGCGACGAGAGCAAGTGGACCGTCAGGGAGGTGGCCGGCGACGACCGCTGGAGAGACTTCCACGCAAACTCCGTAGTCTCGCACGACCGCGGCGTCCACGGCGACGGCCTTCTCGTCTTCGTCGACAGGAACCACGGTCTACTGCTGTTCCATCCGCGGGCGATCGCATCGCGCTTCGTCCAGTTTCCCGATCCTCCCGAGGGCGGCGGCGGAGGAGAGACCGAGGAGGAAGCTGACGCCTCGGTCGACTCCAGCGAAGGCAAGATCATCTACGTCGTCTTCTACGATGTGCCCGACGGAACTATGATCGGCTTATGGTGCCTGTCCGAGGAGAACCTGCGCTGGAATCCCCACTTCAACCTCTGCTCCGACGAGGTCTTCCACTGCGACGAGCGCCTGTTGCCGCTGCAAGGAGTTCGGAGCGTTGGACCTGTCGACCCCTACAGAATGACCCGGATGGTCTTCGGCGTGCGCTGTCCCGCCGATGGTACGTTTTCCTCGTTCTGTGTGGAGGTGACGCCGGCGGGGATGGTGCTACGGAGGGTGCAGTTGTTGGGCGACGTTGAGAGCTGTGCGTGCCTGGATTCTGTCGTGTGCCCTCTGCAAGGTACACCCAAGAGGAGGTGGATGGAGACCGTGAACAGCGCAGTGCAGGACGGAAAACAGGTGGGAATGATTGCGCTGAGCGCGGTTCAAAAGGGAAGGAAGTACGTCGACAAACTGCCCGGCGCGGTGCAGCTCGTTGGAGGAGCCCTGGGCCTCTCTCACACCAGCGCTCTGGTCAGCGCAGCGAACGCAATCAAGACGGTGAATGACTCTATCACTATCGGTGAAAACGTCTCCTCTTGGTTGCGGCTTTCGGCCAGGGGCACCTGGACTCATCTGCAGGGTGGTGGGTACGGAACAGGAGGCTCAAGCTGCACTCGATGAATGGCGTAGCCTGGAGAAGCCCAGCAATATGCTGGTGGACCCTGCTGAAGACCTCACTCAGCAACAGTGGGATGAGCTCCGTGAGTTCTTGGTTGATAGAGGAGGTGAGACGCTCGTCCAGCACTATGATTACGAATTCGTTGGGCGCCCGCCCCGTTGATTCTTGTCTTGATACAGAGATAGTGAGATACTGTTGATTTCTGGGATTGAATCCAAGCTGTAATGCGAAGTGTGATACTGACCGTGCCAGCCATTGCAAACTGTGAATGCAAACTGTTTCTCGCATTTGCCGATGTGAATTGGTAGCAAACTGTAATACAGTGGTAGTATTCACTGAACATTTGCCGGCTGATTTGACCCTTGTTGCAAAAAAAAAATCCAGGCTCTCATTTGCCGATGTGAATTGGTCGAGTGTGCTCTTCATGCAACTAGTATGGATGAGTCAGGGTCAGTGTTTCTTGGTTACTGAGAATGGATGTGTCAGGGTCACTTGTAGTATAATACACTAGTAGTACAGTTGTGGATCTGCAAAGTGCAGTGTACTACAGCAATGACGCGACCCTTGTTGTCTCTGGACTTATATTGTCTGATTGACCCTTGCTGTCTCGACTTCTATTGTCTGAAATTTGTCAGCGTTTCTTGGTTGCGCTGGGAGTAAAATTCAGGCTCTCATTTGCCGATGTGAATTGGTATGAAACTGTAATCCAGTAGTAGTACTCACTGTTTCTCTGAACATTTGCCGGCTGAGTTCACACACAGCTCCCTCGGCCACCAGCAGGACACAGGGTCTCCGTCTCCCTGGCGCAGGCCGCGCTTGCAGACAATCCACCAGGGGCCGTGATGATGCACCCATCTGCACGACAGCACCAGCAGGGTTTTGATGTGTTAGTGTTGATGATAGTATCCCCAGGCCTGCTTTTTTTATTGACAACGGTTGGCTGTGGTCTGATGGAGGTGTTGAGGCATCAATGTAACATCTTGGTCCTGGTAGACAGTGTATGTGTTTGCTGACTGTTGCGCAGTCCTGTTCGCCTGTGGTTGTAAGAGGCTAAAGAGGGGTGATTCCTGCATGAGTAGAAGCTGTACCTTGTGATCGGAGTTGTCGTCGGCCTTCTAGTGATCGTTGGATCATTCTGTTGTTATGCTGGTGCTGTCCGCTTTGGTCTGCAGATGTCCGTCCGGTGTGTATGTGCCGAGCTTGGGCAGATGATCCTTTTTAGAGGGTCAACCCATGTCCCATGGTGCATCGACGGATATGTATACTCCTATGCGAGAACCAAACATTTATTTATTACTCTTGGGCTGAATCTGGGCGCTGGGCGAACTGGCCCATGGTGGGCCTTTTTCCTTGTTTCGTTTTTTCCTTTTTTCTAGCAAAACTGTGATCTTCTAAAATCCAGAGAAAACCAAAGAAAAATCACAAAATGCCATGAGAGAAGATAGAGCCAGGGTTTTATTTTAGATCAAATACAAAATACGTGTGAAATGGTCTTGTGTTGAATTCAAGCAGGGCCTGAATTCAACTCATCTTTTTAATTTATTCGGAAAAAAGTTTGCTTGAGAAAATTTCCTTTACCATGGTTGGGGGGAGGCGCGGCCGTCGTCGCCGACACAAGAGCGGGCGCCTAGGCACAGTTGCACGCGAGGGAGGAGTGGGCGCGGGAGGCTGACAACCATGGGGCTGTGACAGAGGCACGAATGCCGCCCATCTTTGAAACCTAAAGCAAAAAAAAAAAGAAAAATCAGTTTACAATTCATCAAATAAAAAATTGCGCCCGCTTCAGCCAGACGTAGGCAGCCTTGGGCCAGGCTCAACCAGGGACTGGGAGCCACGGCCAGGCCAGCGAACCGAGCAAGAGCAAGTCAGGAAGTAAAGCCATGTAACATCGTTCAGATTTTTAAGCTGTGTTTCCCCTCGCTAACTAGGCGAGGTGGGGTTAAACCCAGAATCAGAAGGTGCCTTGGGAGTGGGAGGGGAATCGGGCTACCGTGCTGTGGCAGTGGGACATGGCCAATTGGGCACTTTGGGCCGGCCCACTTCACGTCGATGGAGCTGGCTCCATTATGTTAATACTTATTATACGTATCATAGCTTATTTACACATATTTGGTCAAACTGAATAAAAGTTTGACTTCCTAAGTTTGACCAAATATATAAAACAGAGCATCTAGATTTGTGACATAAAATTAATATCAATAGATACACTATTATAAAATATATTTTCATAATTTATTTATTTGGTGTCCTAAATATTGTTGTATTGTTTCTTAAACATGAGTCAAATTTATTTTTTTTACTTAAGATAACTCTAAAAAATGATTTATTCAGGAACGGAGCGACTACCATTTTATTTTGATAGTAGTCCGCGGGTAGAGGGTCCTCGGCGTGGATTTATTTCATTTCAAGTGGCTCGAAAGGCTAAATTCCAAAGCTTACGCATCGGGTTTTACAAAGACACGTTGTTATATTGCCTCGTAAAGAATTGAGCACCAGGCATTATAGATGTCTTCATCCCCGATGGTAGCCGATTACGCCGAGAGTTTTGCACTAGTCTTGCATGCATGCAAAGCGTCCTATTGCAGATCGTGGAATACAACATTGTGTTGTTGTTTCATAAAACAGGATTTAACGCATTGCGAGTGCCGCACCTCCTAGCGTGGCGATATCGCATGATTGGTTGTATGTACCAGTGGCCGAGCCAGTGCCTCGCAATGCAAGATCGTCTCCCTAGCCGTGCCCTTTGGAAAACCTTGCGGCCGTGGGGCACGACCGGGAATAGCGGTCATGAGGCTGCGATAGAGGCGCGGATGCAGATGACCGTTGGAGCAAGGGTGCTTGGTGACGAGGCAAAGCCAGGGTGACCCGCATAGTGTCCGTGCGTTGAATAGGCAGCAACAGCAGTTTTCCCTTCGGGAAGAAAAAGGGGATGGGGAAGGTGAGGCTGACAGTTTTCCCTCGCAATGCAAGATGCGCCTCCTAGCCAGGCCCACCGAAAAACGCAGGAATCGGGCGTTTTCGCCAGGCCAGGCTGGCGCAAGCGCCGAGCTTCCTGCCATGTCACCTTCCACGTTCGCTTCGAGCCCAAGAGCTCGGCGCCAGGGACGCTGGCGCCGAGCTAAGGGTCCAGATTCTGAAATCTTTCCTCCAGGTATCTATTTGTGAGAAGCTTTTAAAAAAAAGGGCTAAAAAGTAAAAAATTCGAGCCCCGCGACCCGTCGTCCTCTGTCCACGCTTCCGCCCCAGCGGGCGAGTCGAGTCGGACAAGGTGGCGCGACCGCAGCAGAATACAATACGATACGACCCCTGCTGTACTGTATCCGAAACGGTGGCCGTTGGTTCCTGTTCCCAGGCCAGGACCCAGAAACCGATCATGAGATGTCTGTATATATATAAATACATGCCGTTGTTTCCTTTTTGATTGATTGGATTGGAAAATAATACGGATCATGTTTCGGGGTGTGCTCTCAGCGCTTGCCAACATGTGGATGTGGTGGTTTCCTCCTCTCCGCCGCCGGCTCTCCTCGTCCCCCGACGCAGCAGCATTGTCAGTCGACAACGAGGTGACCCAACACAACAACAACCCAGCAACAGGCCTTCGATTCACCGATCTTCCACCGGTATTGTATATACACACTATTATTTCATATTCAATCAACTGAATATATGTATGTACTAATGAGAGAGAGAAAAAAACTTGCATGCATGCAGGACATTTTGTACACGATCGTGTCGAAGCTGCCGGCAAAAGAAATTGCAAAAGTAGCGTCCTGTCAAGCGAGTGGAGGCGATGCATGCGTCTGTGGTCAGCGTGCCCCAGGCTAACCTTCGATGCTGTGTCGATATGCAAATGCGAGAGGTACGAGCTGAGCGAAACCACCCAGGTGGCGAGATTCATCCCTCACGTCAACGGCGTCTTGCAGAAACACCGTAGCCGCTGCGCCGTCGTGGAAACGCTTGAGGTCAGAACCGATTTCGTCGGCGGCGCCCACGGCCTGCTAGCTCATCACATCCACATGTGGGTGGAATTTGCCGTCTCGTCGTCGCGGACCAAGAACCTATCCCTGGATCTCAAGCCCGAAACCTGGTGGGAGCACGATGGATCTTGTCTACCCCGAAAGCAGGATCTGTACGTGTTTCCTTTCCGGCAGCTGCTTTCAGTTTCAGACAACAACTGGGGAAGCAGCCTGCAGCAGCTGCACCTTAGCTTTGTATCTTTCAGACCACCGTCGCAGTTCAAAGGCTTCCCGAATCTGAGGAAGCTTCGTCTGGAGGTGCTGCATATGGCCAGGGAGGATCTTGAGCACCTGCTGTCCCGTTGCGCCAGCAAGATCCAGTGGCTTCACATAGACAGATGCGTCGTCGACGATCAACTCACGCTGGCGACTCCACTGCCTAGTCTGCTCTACCTCAATGTTGAATGTGGCCTCGTCACCAAGATAGACATCAATGCTGCCAATCTAGCTACCTTTGAGTACACCGGACGCTTGGTACCTATCCGTCTTGTCCATTCGTTGAACCTGCAAAGTGCAAATCTTGACTTGCTCATGGCGGTTTTTGAGCATGCGCTCATATCCCTTGTCAATGGTATTCCAAGCGTGCAGAGCCTCACCTCCGATTTGAGGCTTGGTTTGAAATATCTAGAGGTGCCGTACTGTTCCTAATTATTTCATTCATGTTTTATTTCAAATCACAATCAATAATAATGTAATAACCTAGCTTCAAACAATTAATTAATTTTCTGTGTTTCAATTCTCACTCAGAAGCAATGGTCGTGGGATCGCCCGTTAAAAAGGTTTTCCAATCTCCGGCATTTACAGTTGCTAATTCGATATTTCCACGACGAGGTTGACAAGCTTCTTTATTCATCGGTTTCATTCCTGAGAGCCGCACCGTTTATTGAAAAGCTGGAGGTCCATGTAAGTCCCATCCATGTTAGTACATTATATATATTTTTCAATGTTTCGTAATTTTTCAATTCATTCAAGTGTTACGTATTATTCGTCCTCTTATTATTACTACTGATACCCAGCTACACTACAGGAAACGGCTGATTTGCCGGGAGCAAAAATATTTGCCGGGTGCTTTTTATCGGGCACCCGGCAAAGGAATTCTTTGCCGGGTGCCAGGCCTCGAGAAACCCGGCAAAGAAAGGCCTCCGGCAAATCAACCTTTGCCGGGAGCC